CAATGTAACCTTTATCCATATTAGGATACGGGAGTAGGAGGGGCGGTCCCGCCTAGGTGCCCTGTAAGGACCTAGGTGCCCGGCGAGGCGGGTCCGCGGCTCAAAGAGGGCAGGAACCCCACACCCACATCCTATTCGTAACACCCCTAGGCGGCCGAGGAAGTCCAATTACTCGAAAAAAATTTAAGAGATTACTCTTTCAAAGCTCGTGGTACATTGGGCAATTCACACTTAGCGCTAAGATAATATACCACAAAGCTTCCCGTGATCCCTTGCCCCTGAAATGTTTCGATCTTGCACATTGTTCTTCCCAGGGAATTGTAGTGACGTTTCTCGTGTCTTGTGAGGCAGTGGTTCTGCGGGACGACATTTATGAAGCACGGGGTTAGTCGAACGAAGGAAGGGCTCAAGAAGAGGGAGGTGCACACTTTAACGCAGTCAGCATCAGGGCCCATTTGGCGATGGAGCCGCTGCTTTTCTCGAGGGGCATTGGCCAGTGAGAATCCAATTACAGAGCAGCGGTACGTAACCGTGCACATGGCACGCGCACAGTGAAGTCACGACACGAATGGGCCCATTTCCACGACATCTCGGTACGTAGGTTATGCACATTCACCGCCCCCGCCCCCGCCACCCAAGCAAGACTAGGTTCCCCTCCCATTTATTTATGCGGCGCCGAGAATTGCCAATTGACCAATTGCAGCAATTGGAGCATGCTTTGCGATTTCGGCGCGAATTTGGGCACCAGTGTGGCTGCTACCCTGTCAGATTCGGGGCTCTAGAGACACCGTTTGGGTGGCCGCCGTTGCACGCCACCGGTTTCACATGAGTTCGTGGAACTTCATTCAGTTTCAGTGAAGGCATTCATGTGCATCGTTCTGTGGTTTGTGGTCCCCATTCAGCCACCAACAGCCCCGCACCTCGCCATTCAGCCACCAACAGCCCCGCACCTCGCCACATGCGACTGCACTGCTCACGACCACCGCGCAGGGACTGCCCCCCACCCCCCACCCCCACCCCCACCGAAATAATATTACTGCCTGCACCAAATCGGTGACTGCTTGCACCAAGTCACGTGCACACTTTGTCCTAACCTCAGTTTTAGGGTTAGGTTTAGTTCAGGGTGAGTTTTAGGGTTAGGGTTAGGGTTAGGACAGGGTTTAGGTTTTAGGGTTTAGGTTTTAGGTTAGGTTAGTTTTGACGGAGTTGGACATGATGTGCACGTGACTTGGTGCAAGAAGTCACCGTTTTCGTGCAAGCAGTCACCGATTCGATGCAGGGAGTAATTTTATGCCCACCCCCACCCCACACACACACACACTGAAAACACGTCGCACGCTGCTGATCAAAAACTGTCTGAACCTCCACGCTCATCCGTAGCACCTCTCGTTGGCTCGATTCAACCCCCGCGCTTCTCGCGGGCTTCTCGAGTCCGGTCCCGCAGATTCCGTCCGCAGACACCTGTACCGCCGGCTGCGCGGTGTACCGCGCCCCTCTGACCAATCCTCGCGCACCCGCCGCGGCCACCCGTACCGGTCCTGTCACAGGACCCCGCAGGCGCCAAACTACAGGGGCTGCCCCGACGGAATTCAGGTAGCCCTCCGCTGGGGCCCGGTACCGCTCCGCCCTTCGCGAACGCGGCCGGGACGCCACCGCCGGCGGCAGCGCGGCGACTGCCTCGCGGGCTGCGCGCAAGAGGGCCGGAGAACCATCCGGTCTCGAGGCAGGTGCGGTCGAATGGCCAACTCCGCTCACGCACTGTTTCCGGGGGTCCTTTTCTTGGAGTCCGTCTTTGGGGGATCATTTTTCGGCAGCGCACGGGGGGCCTTGGGCGGCGCGTTGACGGTGCGTTGGCGGCGCGGGCGGCCTGGAGAGGGCGGGGGCCGTCAGGAGGCGGGGGGGAAATCGGACGGGAAGCGGGCCAGAGGTTTGCTGGGCGCACATGCGGTGGACGCCGAGCGCGGCGGGGGAATGCCAGGCTGGGCGTTCGCCGAAGCGACGGCGCGGGGGATCGCAGAGAAGCTGGCGGGATGATCTGTGGCCGCGAGAGGGGCGGATTGCGGCCGGTCCGTTTGAGCGTCGGCGGGCCGGCGGGCGGGAGGCCGGTGCGGGGGCCATTGGCAGGGGGAGTGGGGCCGCGAGCTCGCTGTGAATGGATGTGTTGTCTCTTTTGTGCGGGCTGGATGCAAACCCGGAGATCCCCGAAGCGCGCGGGACCGCTCATCGTGGCGTCATGATCGGCCGTCGACCGCCGGCTGGGCGTCATGCCCTCCCACGATGGCCCCTTTTGTCGAGGAAAGGTGTGGCGGTGGGCGCGGCTCGGCGGGGAAGCGAGTCGTGCGCTGAGCCCGATGGCCTTTGGGATGCGGCCAAGGGCTGCTTAGTCCTGTCGCAGCCTTGCGCTGCTGCGGCGTGCGACTGGAGATGGCAGATGAGTGGCTTCCAGCGCGCGTGGTGGTCGATTGGCGGCCCGCGCCTGGGCGCGGCGTACGACGCGCAAGCGGGGGATTGGGCTGATGGCTTGCGGCGATCGGAGGGTGCCGCTTCGTCGAGGAATGGAGTGGCGTCGCGAAAGGCAGTGATCAGGAGGGGTTGCCACTGTGTGACATGGCTTCCACATTCTTGGGGCCTGTCCCCGCCTGGCAGCACGCCTTGTAGCTCTCTTTGCGGCGTCGGTCCTTCCGTGCTCCACACCCGGCTACCGACAGCGAAAATCACTTGCAGAACAATCAGCTACTCACGCAGGGGAGACTCTACACCATCTTTCCACAGCATGGACAAACGTTTCACAAACCAGCACTTTGTATGACCTGTGTCCTGTTGGCATTAGGTGAATCCTCACCCCTTCCCACTCAATCCAACACACAATTTGCGGACAGGCCCGAGTAGGGCACAAACAAATGCCAATTTGATTCAGAATATGCATATTGAATGAAGACATGAAGCATCACAGTCGTACCAAAGTCTTGCCAATGCCGTTGTGGCCAGCAAGCACGTTGATTGTCGTCCTGGCACATCTCAAGGACAGTGTGCTGTCATATTCTAGCGGACATTCATGTGTTCCAAGGAATTCACTTGGTGCATTGGTCTTTACATTCATGTGAAGAGTGACAATGCACTCCCCTTGCACATGCAGGCAACGTTGAGTCATGCTCCAGCCATAGCGTTTGTTCTGGATTGGCTTTCGCTCCACCTAATGGCCAATATGTCCATTTTGCTCCTGGACAATAATGTACTCATGTTCATGTTTTGTAGCGCACACACCCTCGTCTCAGTGCAAACAATGGAGAGTGGTATATTGCTGCAGTAGTGGTAGTGGTGTGCCTATGGAAAAACAGCATTGCCATAATGGCAACAACGATGTTGGGACAACGTTTCCTGCCGCCTGCCCAGAATGCTCCTAGTGGATAAATTCATCTGGGCAGCATGGAATCTGCCGCTTGAATTGTATGGGAGCATTCACAGAAGCCATAGTGAAGTGCACCTCGGCATCTCACCTGAGCACACTGATGCTGTTGAGCCACTGTTGGCACACAGTGCACAGATGTCCAGAAAATGTTTGCCTCACTGTCTCTTACATGGCATCCTCTTAGTGCTGTAGTACTGTTGTGCTGAAATCAATTCTCGTTAGTGTTTGGTGTACACCAAGCTCCGAGAACGAAGTGCCTGAAGGTTGCATTTCAGTCCAAAGATGGGAGCATGGACATAGCATCTCATGAAACCTGGCAGGACAGCTGGCCTGTGGGTCACATCATTGACTGACTCGTTGCCTGTCTTGCAGCTGGGTCAGTCCACACATGAGGATGTCTCTAGTCACATCCAAAAGGTTGTAGTGGCACGCAACGGAAAGGGGCTGCACAGAAATAAGGGTGCAGCACACAGGACGGCCAAAATCAGACTTGCTGGTGACAGTCGGCTTTGCTACACAGAAGTGCTGCCTTTCAACGGTGGACTGGCAACTGGTGCGTGGGCTTTCGCCTGGACTTTCTGTGCCGAGTTCATTTCTCAGGCTAACCAATTGTTTGCTTCATTCTCGCCATGTGACAACACGCACTCTTGGCAACCACGAATAGAATTGTTTGGAAACCACTACCATGAATTATTGCAGGAATCTGTAGGAGATAAAAGCCATTCTGAGCTGTTCACAAAGGTGTGCATCGTGGATTTCCAGCTGTGCAACCTAAGGGAATGTGCCATCTCCGATTGCTTGCACAGTGGGGTGCTCTGTGAAAGGCCTGTTCTGGGTCAGTGAGTCACCTGGTATTGATGCTGTTGCAAAGGCTGCTGTGACAGCTTCAAAATATGCAATGGCTTTGACAATTAGGACCAAAGGCCATTCAGCCCAATCAGCAACTTCTGCTCGGCTGAGTGAATCAAGGTAACCTCTAAGCCTCAATTAGCCCTCAGCCCGAAACTTGTAGCAAAGCTCCAAAACGAGTGGAGAATGCCCCTACAACCTTCAGCGCCATGCCAAACTGCTGGCACAAGCCAGCTGTACAAGTTGGCTGTATCTGCAGTGTTGTAGCACTTGCCTGGTGTGCATGCGATGAACGCGATAACAACTGCATTTGCTGGCGGGGCCAGCCAGTGTTGAATGCTGGCTTTGTGCCCAGACACATGGGCAGGCACAAACAATCGCAAGTTAACTGCAGCATGAGCATGGGTGGCACAAGGGTGATTGTCCTCCATGAAATGCCAGAAAGTGGTTCTGCCTGATCTTCCAGAATAGCAATTATGATGGCCTTGTTGTGCAACATGCCACCACAATCTACAAAGAAAGAAAGCGAGTCAGCTGTCGTCTTTCAACTTTCAGCTGGCATACTTGGATTGATTGCATAGAATTGCATGTCCCTTGGTAGGATGTTTTGGTGTTTCAAGTTGCACCAGTTGCTAACATGACAAGGCAAGCAGTCAGATGCCTTCCGGGGCAGATGTGCCGATTTTCTGATTTGCTCCCACTCTGATATGCCCTGAGTTGCTGCATGTCTTCATGAATCAGAATGCAGTGCGAGGATAAGGACTTCGCGCTGGGGTGCCTGGGGTCCGTTTTCAATGACGCATCCGGCAGTGATGTCACCATCAGGGGGCCCGATGGCCGTGAGGTGCACTGTCATCGTGTCTTCCTGTCTGCGGCCAGCAAGGTCTTCCGACAGATGTTCGCCTCTGGAATGGCAGAGAGCTCTGCGCAGGTAGTGTGGAGTGGCTTTTGGGCAAGAAGCCTGACTGAGCACATTATGTTTACCAGACTCTCAGAAGAAGACCTCCTGAACAGAGAGAAAGACATTTAATGCTAGACAGTAAGCATTCCTAAAGCCAAAAGATAGAAACATGCTTTTCTGATTCTGCCTAGATGTGTGAAGGCATTGTTTGTCTGTTTCCATTGGCAAGTACTTCTTCATTTGCCCTGTATTTTTTCATTGGCTGTTTCATTTTTTAGTTGATGAAATGGGTGTTGAGGTCTTTTTGCCAAGCATGGTGAGGCCATGTGCAGGCTGCCGGAATCTTGACTCATGTCTGACGAGTTGAATTCAGTAGCAACACGACATGACCAATGTGTCACATTTCGGGTTGCCTCCAAGGGTACATTCGTTCATTCTTTACTCCTTCCTCCCTTTTCTCTAGCCGCATAACACCCACCCCACTCTGCTTTCCAGGTGGTGGAGGTGGGCGAGGTGGACCCCGGCGCCCTGGAAGCCATGCTGCGCTTCATCTACACCGGCTCCTGCGGCATCACCGACGCCAGCCTCGTTCCCCTGACTGCAATCGCCGACCGCTTCGACGTGTCCGCCCTCACGACCCTGTGCGCCCGCTACGCCGACAAGCACCTCGCCATCTCGGAGGCCACCTGCTGGGATCTGCTGGAATCGGCCGTGGCGTACGGCGTGGCGCCGGTCGCTCGCCGCGCCTCGCAGTTCGTCCTCAAGCGCATGCCTCCCGAGGATGACGGCTGGGTGCGACTTTCCGAGCCGGGCCTTGAGGCCCTCACCCGGGCGGCCCTCCAGGAGCTGGCGCACTACAAGGTGATCCTGGCGATCGAGCGGTGGATCGAGCACGACCGGGCGCGGCGCCTGGACCACGGCCTGGCCGCCCTCAAGCAGTGCAGCTTCTACGTACTCACCCTGGACGAGCTGGCTCGAGTGTCCGCGCTCCGCGTGGTGTGCGACAGCCCGCCGCTGCGCAACAAGGTGTTCCAGTCCATCTCGACCATCGGCAAGATGATGCAACAGTTCCCGCGCATCCGGGCGGGCGCGCCGGAGGCCGCGACGGTGGCGGAGTGGCGCGAGCCGGGCGCCGCAGGCATCTGGACGGCGCTGACTTCGGGTCGGCATTTCATTCTTGCAAAGGGCGGCGAGGGGGGGAGCATCAGATTGATTGAAGATGGGAGGGAGATCTTGGAGTGCGGGAGGCGCAGCGGGGGGCGCGGTGCCGTGGTGGGCGGCTCCTTCGAGCTGAGGCAGGGCGACCGTCTGGTGGTGAGCGTCGGGGCCCGGGGGACCGGCGGTGCTGGGGGGGGAGGGAGTTACGTCATGATGGCGGGATCCAAGGAAGGCGGAGGCGGGACGGGGGCCCAGAGGCTGTTGGTCGCGGCGGGAGGTGGGGGAGGGGCCGGCTGGCGGTCCGCCGGGCTGGACGCGGAGATCGAGGCCGGGGAGGCTGGTGGCTGCTCTTTGGGACCCGGAACGGGCACGCCGAGGGGACTGGATGGGGGATTTCGAGCGGCCGCGTTTCGAGCGCGTGGACTGGTGACGGGTTATCGGGGGAATGGGGACGCAGAGAAGGAGAGGGAGGTTGGCATCGTGCCGGGGGGGTGCCTGTCCGCGGGCCTGGTGCTGGGCGTGGTGGCGGGCGAGGGGGAGGCGGGGTGCGGATTCGCGACGCCGCCACCTGCGGTGCTTAGGGGGGGCGCCGCGAGGGGCGGTGGGGTGGGAGGATCGGGAGGGGGGGGCGGGGGGAGCCCGGGGGGCCCGGGAGGGGCCGGTGGGGAAGGGGGCGGCGGCGGAGGGTGCTTCGTTGCGGACTCTGCAGAGAACGTGGCCAAGGAGGTGCGGAACTTTGGGCACGGGATGGTGAAGATATGCCTGGGCGCCGCCCCCGAAAGGGCCTGGCTGTATTCGTAGTGCGTTTTGGTTTAGCGGGCTCGGAGTTGCTTGGGGTGCCGTGGGTGCTCGGTTTTGCCAGGTGGGTGGTTTGTGAAATTCCATTACATCCAGCCAAAGTGTTTGTCCAAAGTGTTTGGGTGGTTTGTGGGGTTGGGAGTGTTGTGGGAGACGGCCCGGCCCGTTGGGTGCCCGCAGGCTGCCAGGCCTGCAATTCTTGCGAGTGTTGGTGGTCGTCTCTCGGTCGCATCCTTGCTCATAGTCATCCCATCATCCTTGCTTTGGCATCAACTTGACATTATTTTTGCTTGCCATTTTTTCTGCAATGCATCATCTCCGGAGTCGCCTCTTGTATTCCCACGCGAATTTTAAACACGACACACCATCTTTGCATTTCGGTTTGCTATTGGGTGGGCGGGTTGCCTTCCACAGGCGGTGTGGGAACGTGCTTGCTGCTCCACATGCCAACCTGTTGCTGGCACTCGTGGAACGCCCTTTCACAACAATGTGCCATGTTACAATTTGGGCTTGCCGCTTCTCTAGAGCGTACCAGTGCATTGTCCACCGCATCTCAACCTGTGCCGTGTTGTTCAGGGTGGCACGTTTTGAGATGCAAACACATCCGATAGGGTTGTGATGCACATAATTCAACTATAATTCAACCATAATTTAATTTAAAATTTAAAAACAAAATTTGTAGATGCGCTCGTACCCAAAGCTTCGTTGGAAGACTGAGTGGAAGGAGGCCACAGGAGGCGCCTTGCGCAGGCCAGGAACCAATTGCTCGTCCCATTTGTGCTCTTAGTTCATGTGCCCTCATTAGGGTCACAGCAACTGTTCATGTATGGTTCCAAAATTTTGCACTGGCTAGTGCTTGGTATACAGTGCCGGTGTGGTGCAGCACGGTCATGACCGCGACATTGGCACGCACTCGACTACCGGCATTGGCCCATTCACTCGGGGTCATTCCGTGTTAAATCATGTCAAGCTGCTGACAATCGTCGGGTGGTGCCGGCAAGAGTTTTCACCCAGCACCATCACTCGCACGGCAATATGAGGATGGCGAAAGTCGCTTCCGAAAATGGGGAAATTGGGCAGTATGTTGGTGAAGTTGAAAATAATTTCGATATTCTGAGTTTTGGCAACCGGTCACTGCAATTTGCATGTGGCGAATGCACAGACTTATCCAAATCACAACGTTAGAAAACCAGCTCTTAGCTGAGGTGTCAACACCGACCAATCCACCCTGTGGCATCTGATTTGGTGGTGCAGATGGAGCCGATTCCATGTTGTAAGTGTTGCCCATGAAAGAAGCAGTGTTGCAATATAATACTTTGTAGTACCTGTATTAGAGAACTGCCATGACATTGTTGAAGGAAAATGCCCACTACGTTGTAAACACATTTAACCCAAGTTGGACCATTTCTTTATGGAAACACAATTGAACGATTAGCCCAACTTCTATGCAGAGTTTCGATGCTCTTAAGGCAGACTACGACACCGTGATATTGTGTAGTTTCTCCGTTCTCGAAAACATATTACACTTGCGTTCCGCTGTGTGATTAGCAATGCAATGTTATCGCACAGCTTTAAAATTTGTGGAAGTTTGTACGTAAGAATTTAGAGGGGAACCTAAAAAATTGGATTCAGGATGCAAATCTCACATTTAGGCTACAAACAACGAAATTTAGCATTACTTAAGTAAGCGCAGCTCAGGCCAGAAACGGGCCTATTTCGGAAACGTTATTTCAAATGATGCATCAACTTGGTGAATTTTAAAACGCGATGACCGGCTTGGGGCCTTGTCCGGTAAGGCAGTCTGGATCCCCCTGTAATGAATACGTTATGCCACTCCGTCTAAAATTCAGAGTACTCATCTTCTATTTAATTGAGTAATTATATATTATTCAGATACATGGGTACGTGAGATGATATTAAAGCTGCCCTGCGGTGTATTCACCAGCAATATTAATCATAAGGATGGTGCGACATGGCTTAGTCTTTCGAGGAACCAATCACAGTCATGAAACATTTGCATCGATTTGATTTGATGCATCCTTCCACATGGAGAATGCTAGCCCCAGAACGCGTGCGCGTTTCATGCTTTTAAGGAATTTGACAGGAATGAACAGCCATGTATATTGAGCCATTTTGATACTGTGCATTGAAACCATGACCGTCTTGGAAAACTTGAAAGGAAAGAAGTGAAATTAAAGTCTCTGTTAACAACAAGCAACTGATGGGAGATGGCACCCAGGTGGAAGGCCCATTTGCAGCTACAGTGGATGCAGAAATAATGCGCGTCAATGCAGTTTCCTTGGCATAGTGAGAGACGATGGCTCCCAAGCGTCAAGGAGATATGTCTTCTTTCTGAGATTTGTGCACACCTCAGGAAGACACATCTCTGGGAGATACATGTCGTATGAATGAGGGTGTGGTGCATTCTCACTTGCCTATAGCACATTACAACAACGCCTGCAGTCCTCACATACCTCAGTGCTGGTGCGCACCATCTCTGCATCCGCAAATCTTATTGTATGACCGCATAGACTTCGTAGCCACATAACTGCCACTTATATGTCCTCGTGCTTCGACATCTGTTCTTTCTCAAATCAACAAGCGGTAGCTTCCTGGCACACTTCCGTGTATGCACTCAGGGCACTGACAGCTCGAAGAGCATCCAACGACCATGCCCAATTGTAAGGTGGCACGTTCTTCATCAGCAACCCCAAGAGTGCTGATGCCCTTTTTTATTGCAATTATTTTCCATCTCCAATCGAGCCACACGCAGTGGACAAGTTGAGAATTCCGCGCCTCCACAGAGATAAGTGCGGGGTGCAAGAGCTGGCGGCCGTTGCTGTATGTCGCCTCCCCAGAGCGAACCAAACAATTCAGGGCGCGTCTTTAGTCGACTGCCACCAACTTCTGATGCTGTAACAAGCCCTCTTCAATCATATGAAATGCTTCTCCCAAAGCAGCCATTCTCACCAACACAATGTCCTTCAGCAAGGAATGATCAGCGTGTGGCCGACAACGATCTGACTTGGATCAGCCAGCTTGTCCCTGTTTGCGTCGAATATCTTTTCCCAGGCCATGTTGTACATCTTCCCCAGCTCATAGAGGGACTCCCCAGGCTGCACAAGGTGCGTGGAAGGACAGCCGTCATTAGAACCACCGACTTGGGTGGGCTCAACCACGGGTACTGGGTCGATCACAGTGCCACCATCATTGGTGGTTCCAGGTAGGGCGACAGGCTGTTGAGCATACGCTGGCGTTGGAAGAACAACAGGCTCCTGAACATAGGTGGGGATCAGCGGAGTCGTAGATGCTGACGCGGGCACGGCGTCAGTTGTGCTCGCGCAAGGAATCCTGAGCGTGTGGCCCACAACCTCCTGGCTAGGGTGCGCAACCCTATCTCTGTTCATGTCAATGATCTCCTGCCAGTCGATGCCATATATGTCCCCCAGCACGTATACGGATTGCCCAGGCTGCACCAAATGGGAACCAGTGCAGACTTGACGATTCCCGCCAGCCAGGGAAGGATCAGTAACGGGAGGAGGCTCGACAATAGGCGAAGGATCAAGTACAGGCGAGGGCTGGTATGTGGGAGACGGCGAGACAACAGGCTCTTGGACAGGACCATTGCCCGCATTGCACGGCACTGGAATGCGCAAATGCTGGCCAACGTAGATGGTGTTCGCGTCCGGCATCGTATCTCTGTTGGCATCGTAGATCTCCGCCCACGCAACGCCATACTTTTGCCCAATCGCCCACAGCGAGTCTCCGGCGACCACTGTGTAGTCCTGGGTGCAGGGCCCGGTTCCTGTCGAAGGATCCGTCGGGGTGACAGGATCAGGGTCAATGGGTGCCGCAGGGTCGGGGCTGGGAGAAGAACTTGGTTGACTCGTTGGAATACTGGAAGCTCCAGTCCAAGCTGCACTCAGCGTCTGTGCCCATGTGCCGCCCAGCTCCTGTATATCGAGGCTCCACTGCCACCCCATGAAGCCTCCGGGAAGGGTCCCCTTGGAGGCTGCCTCGCCGAAGAGACCGGCCAACTGGTTCATCTCTACGAAGCCGCTGTTCACAACGCCCGCCTTCGTCACTGGCTTCCCAACGACGATCTTGGACATGGGAATGCCGTTGCTGGCGATCTCCATGACGGACGTGCCCGCCGACCAGCCATTGGCGCGCTCAAACAACGTGACATAGGTGTCATTAGTGGTGCCTCCCTGGTTGTAGAATTGAATGTTGTAGAAATCGATCATGCTCCCGACCTGTGGCATAACCGGCAATATTACTATTAATTAGTGTCACCTGTTAATTCAATGTACTGAACACCGTACGCCACACGCTGCAATTACTCTTTGTGTTTTCACAGAAGAGCAAAGTTGATATTTCAAAATCAATTTTAGATTGGAAAAATCCATATTCAACACCATTTCCTTTAAGATCAGGTGCTTGCGTAGAATTGACAGAATGTGCTAAATTGCAGTGCTTAATTGTTAGGCGAAATTCATTCTGGCTCACTGCCGCAATTGACAAAACAACTGCCTCAACTACCTATAGTGAAACTGATCAAAGTGTACGGACCAATATGACATGTTGGTCTCTTTGGAGGCTTTCAATACCAACTTCCAAAGAGATTATCTTTCGCCATTAGTCAGCAACCACTGTATTAAACATCGAACCTATCGCGAATGAGGTAAAGCTCAAGAGAATAACGTCCCCAAATGTGGGTACTATGGACTCGGTAATTCAGCTCTCCAGACTTGTCATTGTATTGCAAACGACCATCGGTACGTGAGATCCCCTTTCTTTTCATTTTTGTGCAGTGGCTGTGGCTGTGGACGGGCGGGAGCAGGAAAGATACTCGTCGCCAATTGTTCGAGATGTGTACTGCAGAATGGAACATCGTGCTGTCACTCTCACCTGCGCTTCAACATCCAAATAGTTGGCGGTGAATTGAGGAGTAAAGTATGGCGCCTGAGGCGCATGTGTGATGATCGCCCCTGGGAACACGC